CGTTCAAGCTTCAACTGCGGATCTTTTATTTGCATCGCTCGTTCATTCGATTGGTACTCGATGCGCAAATGAAACTTTTGTAACGGTTATAGAACTCTTCGGTCGTCGTCACGCCATCGCTGTTAGATACAATTGGCGATACATAAAGGCATGGTTAATAGACATACATATATGGGAAAACAATCGATGATGAGACGGAGAAATGAATACAAAGGATTGTGGCGAGAAACAAGAATGAGAGAACGAGAGAGAGAGAGAGAGAGAGAGACACAGTTGACAATTTCTAAATATACAGAAAAGAAAAGAGGAAGGGAATAAATAAAGGAAGAAGAGGAATTACTAACGATACAATTTGACCATCTTTTTGATTGTTTTGTTACTGTCGCGACTCGATTACCACATTCTTCTACATACGTGGATTATTTACAGAAAGGCACATCGAATTTCACGTACACTATACACGGGTACGACGATACAAATAAAAAGAAAAAAAAGAAAAAGAAAAAGAAAAACAAAACACATAATGTTCATTTGTCGGGTAGATGAATAAACAAATTAATAAACAAACGAGACGTCGTGCCTACGGTTATCGTGTGAACAGAATTGATCGCTGACACATAGCATGGTGAGCACGGTGATTGATGACATGTATAACTACTCTTACTCGCGAGAGATTAGAATCCGTATCACAGTTTCATAACAAGCAATATTCGGTCTTAATTTATACGTATCGCACGTTTGCAGTAGCACAAGTCGAAAAAATATATTTCCCAAAAGAAACAGGGAACAGTTTTTCGAATGTAATTAGCAGACTGCAGATTTCTATGCATTTGTACGAAATTTGCAAAAGTGCAAACACGATGCGTATAATATTTTTAAAGTAAAGTACGATACTTAAAGAATGAAATCTTCCAGTCTCTTAGTTATATGCATTGAATTTGCATAAACATCCACAGTCTAGTAATTAAATACTGTTTTGTTGATCAAAGAATGATTCAAAATAATATACTAAATTATATAAAATTAAAATATACAATAAGATCAATTTATAAAATATTATTATAAAATGTGTCATGCCAATTACGAAGAACGATAAAATTACTCTCTACTGACTAAATAAATGAATCTACAAGATTTTTATACTTAATCGAGAAGAGTATCTCCGTAACGTTCTTTCCCGCAAGCGTGCGATATATTAATCCTGCTGCAATCTTTAAATTTTGGTATTGCTCTCATTTTATATGAATAAGAATCTTTTCAAATTTCAGTCAATATTGAAATATTTTTTAATATTGTAAAAATGTAATTGAATCGAAAATAATCGGCAGAATGCGGCAGAATTAAGTCTCAAAGAGGCTGTAGTAATATAATATTTATGGATAATAAATTTTTAATTTCAACCTTCCATCACATATAACTTGAAAGTTACGTATTTCACATTTTTATTTTGTTTATTTTACAAAAATACTACATTTAAAAATTGAAATAAATAGCTAATAATCTTTTCCTCTTATGAGTAGAACGTTTATGCATATTTGTATTTTTATAAAAATATTTTAAAAAACCGGAAGTTAAACTTTATGTCATTAACTGAATATTAAAATAAGTATTCTGTTAAACTTCGAATTAAATATTACTATAAAACATTGTAATAATATTTATTATTATTACTTTTTTATTAAATTAAAATATTAATGTGTAAAATTTGTTAAATATTATATTATATAAATATATATTTAATAACAATAAAATATTAAAATATAATATTACTATAATACTAAACTAAATATTAATACAAGTACTTTTTGAATATTTTATACATATTTTTTTTATAATAAATATTACATGCAATTGTCACGTTTGTAAACTTCTCAAAAATACATAAACATCCTTACTTATAAATAAACTGAATTCTAGAATTGTAGATGGTTGAACAAGAAATTGATTTTATTAAGGTTGTCTGACTAAAACGTATTTATACTACTACGGCCCGTTTGACTAACCGAACAATCGATACTACTTCAAACACGTAGATACGTAAATTTGTACATAAAAAAAGAAACAAATATATATACCTCTACAAGTTCAAACATCGACTGATATAAGTGCTTCTTACCACTATCTAATTTCTACGTTCTCAATATACATAATAGTATTCGCTCGAATTAAGCAAACGTTTATACTACATAGCTGCGAGACACGTTTCGACTGCAAATATACTGTGTTTAGTCGACGAGAAATCACCGTTAAAAAAAATAAAATTACCTTTAGGACAAAATAAACGAGGATATAAATAAAGAATATTTATCGTCGACTAGGCACGAAGAACCATTGAGCGATTTTTGCAAAGAAAACTATGTACAGACGCGCATTGCGAACAATTCGGAGCTTTGCGACACGCATGAAAAAAAAAAAGAAAAAATTGTAAAAAATAAGATAAAAAGAAACAAAAATATGTTCGAGATATATAACGCGTTTATATAATTGTGAAAGACATGTAAATGTGAGCTAACCTCTTTCCCCTGAAGTTCACCAGGACGGCCGGATTTATTCTGTACGTGGTGCGTGAAAAATGGAAAACAAAATAGAAAGTAAAAAAACAGAGAAAAACCAATCGAGTGAAAAAAAAAACAAAAATAGAGTCAGAGAAGAAGAAAAAAGTAGAAGAGATAAAAGGGTAGAGACTTTTCTGATTGGGATTTTTCGAGATTCGTCTAATAAGAAGGGGCTTCATTTCTATCAGAGAAAAAATAAACAGACGTATTTACGCCTGATTGCCAGTGTACTCTCTCGAATACGTAGAAATCGTGGGCCTCGATGGTAGATATAGCGGGGAGTGGACAGCAGCGGCGACAGCTCCAAAAAATTTAACTAAAAAAAAGGTGATGTAGTCGCAGAATTAATATTATCGGCGTTCCATGGTTGATATGCGGCATTTTCTGCGTGTCCTGAGCCTGGGGATTTTAACATTCGGCTTGTGGTTTTGTTTAGCTTTGTCATTGTTAACCTTCGCCTGGTGAATGCTGGGTCCCCCTCGTATAAACAATTATTACGCCAATTATTTTTTGAAGAGGAATGTAGTATGTTTGCAATATTTTTATAGAATTCACGAAATGAATTTTATGAATTCGTGAATTGTGACGAACGAAAATCAGTAAATATTACATGTTATGTCTACATAATATTAGGTGTATAAATTAATTTCTGGCCCTTTCTTCGTTTGTCGTTTATTTAAGAGAAAAATTTTTTTACATTTATATTTGCATTAATTGTGCAATTTTATTTAACAACTTCAATTGATTTGAAGAAGTTTCAATTGATTAAAACAAATGAATATTTTAAAATTTAAATTATAAATTGTATAAATAAAATTTTATTCACATTGAAGGAATGTCCCACTTATAATCTGATAAACATTACATCATTATTAATTTTTTTTTAATGCTTAACTGAGATATAATCTTTTCTTTGAACGACAATCTCAAGTAGAATAAAATAATACTAAAATTAAATTTTCTCAATAAAGTTGTTTTGCGAAAAAGCTATTCTTTCTCTTGCTATTCGTACTTTGTTCAATATTATTTTATATAATTAACATTCATTTATTTTGTATTTCATCATTTGAATTCAGATTTGAAGTCTTCAGAGAAAAATTCGAATAAACAGAATAAAGCTGCAATTTTCCGAATTAACTTGTACACCTAATAATTGAAATTAAGAATTAATGTCTAATAGAAGGACAAATGTACGTCATTTTCAATATAAATTTCAATTCCTTGTTATGGTTTCAAATTGACCCAGTATCCGCCGTGCGGTCAGTTACTAGACGATCCGCTGTGCGAGTGTTAAACTGCTCATTGATAGATAGTATAGCTATATAGTATCGCGGGAATCCAAATTCAAATTCAAATCCATCGTGGCTGGGTCAGGTATGAGCGGTTGTCAAAAAAAAAAAA